CTGGTAGCACAGTACCTAAGGCACTTGACTGCTTACCAGAAGGCTGGTGGTTCAAACCCACCAGCCACTCCTCGGAAGGAAGGTTGGGCAATCTACTTCCTTAGCGATACTGACTTGGAAACCCAAGGAGGGGTCGCTATGAGTTGGGTCCAACTCGATGGCACATAACAACAACACTAACAATTATCTAACTCTGAAAATTGAAAGTGTCATGTACAATTTTAAAATAAAAGGCTAGCTCATGAAAGTAGAGAAAATTATTATTCTATGGAATTGTAAGTGAAAGAGCATTCATTCAATTCCAATTTTGTCTGCTCAACATACATTACTGCATTTCTTCCACCAGAAATTCTGATCCTATTTATCTTCACTGCTTCTCAAAACACAACACGTGGCCACTGTGCAAGTTTATCAGTGATTTGTTTGACTGAATTCTTACTTTCTCAGTAATGTAAAACCCACAAAAGAACTAATTTTGGGGTTAATTTGTATCATGGCAATTCAGAATTATTACTGTCAATAACTCCATTATTGGTTTCCTAGAGATTGAGTGATAAAGTGACCACATGAAATGTCTAAAATCATATTTCTATACTGCTCCATATTTTTTGTTGTCTTACAACAATACACTGTGACTTCAATGCAGCACAATTTATAATGATCTCTATTTTAACCCCTGGAGTACAGTAAAATATTGATGTTGCCTTTCCTCTTCTCAATGTGATTATATATCAAAATACATGTAAAAATTCTTAAGAAATTTAATTCTAATATTTTAATAATCAATATAAAATCATATTTATTTTTATTTACTTTTTCTCCATGAAATAGACTCATCTCCATGTTGAATTCACCCATTCCAGTGTTCATTCTGTCTTCTCTTCCATGTATACTATGTTCTGCATTATTAAGTTTTAAATTCACTTCCATTACTCTGAAATTAATGAAATATTAGATTCTTCTGCTCAAAATATTTGTCTGTGTTTCTCCAATCCATTTATTTCATAATTTTTTACTCCTACCTTTTTTCCTTGGCCCCTGCCTATTGTGTTGAACTGACTTGATGGAAGTGGTTTTCTTTTTTGTTTTATCATAGTGTTATGTCTCTCTAACTATTTTAGCTTGACATTTAGCAATAATTCTTTTTGCCACCATGTAACCATTTCATACAATATTATCCTCACCTGAAAATTGACAGCTTCCTGTGTTTTGAGTGTTACAGACCTCCTCCACACTAGAGTATGTTACACAGCCATATTTCTGCTTTCTGTTTTATGCTCTTGTTAATTTTTATAGCCACTCATTTTGTTAAAGATACTGTTGATCTAAAATATTCACCCTCAATAACCAGTTTACAATAATATCATTATTACAATATTTTTAATTTGGAATTTTCCCCTTAAATGTATGACTACCTCCCCTCCTTCCCCCATTCTTTGTTCTGCTATCATTTATTCTTCCAACTCTATCTCTCTGTCCCCTGCAAAGGTTTTGAAACCTCACTCATGTTTCCTCCTTATCCCTTATTATGATTTCTCAGTAGCTCTCATAATCCTGTCAAATTTCTAAGATCTGTCTCAGATAATATTTTTCAAATTTAAACCACCTTAAATGATCTCAGAGGAGGACCTCTGGTAGCATAGTGCCTAAGCCACTTGACTGGCAGTTCAAACCCACGAGCCAGTCCTCGGAAGGAAGGTTGGGCAATCTACTTCCGTAGTGATACCACCTTGGAAACCCAAGGAGGGGTCGCTATGAGTTGTGGCCAACTCGACGGTTTGTAACGATACAAACAGCAAATGATCTAAGATATAACACACACCTTTCAGTTTTCTAGTAATGTTATATTTATAGGGTTCTTTTAAAATCAGATCATGTTGTTGTTGTTGTTGTTAAGTGTCGTGGAGTCGTTTCTGACTCATAGCGACCCCATGCACAGCAGAACGAAACACTGCCCAATCCTGCCCCAGCCCCACAATCCCTGCTATACTTGAGCCCATCATTGCAGCCATCATATCAATCCATCTTGTTGAAGGCCTCCCCCTCTTTCACCGACCCTC